AATAACTTCAAAGACAAACACTTTCTTACGAAAGGATATTATGTGTCACATATTTGACTCGCTTAACATTTTACCCACCACACCTAGTCCAGTGTTTGGAACAAAATAGGTGTTCATTAAATATTTACAGACTGAATGAACACATCATGGGCCTATTAATTATTAAGTACGTTTTTGGTTTAAATGCAAAATGTCTTAAGTCAGGCGGATACGAACAACCCAAAGTAAATGTTACCTTTCATTGATTTAGCAACACAGAAAATATTTATTGAATGTCTATTATGTCCCAGGTTTGAGCTGGGTTCTGGGCATATAATGGTAAAGGAAACAGTGGTTCTCACCACGCTGTGGTGCTACAGTGTGGCTGCTAGGGCTCTCTAACCTCTGAATCCATCCAATGAGATCATTTTAGCTGTTTTGAACAATTTAAAGCAATCACCATGTCTGGCTCAGGCTTGGCCACCTGAGGAAACCAGCGCAATATATAGAAAATTATAAGTATGATAGCAGCTGCAATTTTAACCTGGCACACTAATGTTTTGCATTGATTTCTATTTCTATTTCTAATATATAAACCCTATTCTGGCAGTCACTACATGGGTATAGGGTTTAATGTTTCTTAAAGTTGTTTTGATTGTAGTTCACCTTAAATAAATCCAGAGAACAGTCACCTCAAAGGAAAAAAAGAGAGCGAGAGAGAGAGAATATGCTAGTGGTTTTATACAAGGTCAGGGCACTCATCAGTGACAGAACTGGGACCAAAATCCCCGTTTTCTTTTTGTTGTTGTTGTTATTTTTAAGTTTTTAATGTTTATTTTTGAAAAAGAGAGAATGAGTGGGAGAGGGGCAGAGAGAGAGGGAGACACAGAATTCAAAGCAGGCTCCAGGCTCTGAGCTGTCAGTACAGAGCCCAACACGGGGCTCGAACTCACCATCTGTGAGATCATGACCTGAGTGAATGCAGTCACCCAACCGACGGAGCCACCCAAGCACCCCAAAATCCCCATTTTCTAATTCCCAATGCAGGATTCTTTGCAATACATCCCCGTTTTCACCATAGGGACATACCTCTGCTTCTGTTCAGTTTAGGTGTTATTGCTAAATGACTTGTAGCTCCAAAAAGAATGAAGTAGATGTCTTAAGACCATACATTCCCAGCAGGAAACCAGGAAGCCTGTGGACTGTAATGCCATCTATCTATTTCCAGATGTAGGAAAACTTTTCTACTTGGACAGTCTGCCATGAATACAAGTACTTATAAAGACAGAAATCATAAAAGAGTCAAGACTTCAACTGAAGCACACAGGCCAATAAGAAACATATTAATTATATTTAGAATTCTTGCTTGATCTGAATTACCAACACGTGAAAGTAGGTTAAATCATGTAATAACAGCCATTCCAAAAATGAAGAATCAAGTATGCTCTCTGTTCCCTGTTGAGTGGAATAGACCTGGAAACAGAGATGGGCAACTTGGCATAGAGTCTAAGCTTTATCATTTACTATATAGGTGATGTATGCTGTGTCATTTCATGCAAGAGTAGAGGAAAGTGTCAAAACATATATATTGCCACCATTTTTTTATAAGTAGGCAATACAGTAAGATTACTTTGAATAGGCTTCTTTAGAGTCCTTTCAACCATCTCTAGGTAGTTACACTTTACTGGAAGCAAGAGTTAGTGACAATGAAATTTCAAAGGAGACAGCACCGTATACAAGTTTTATAACAGAAAGTAAAAATGTGCATTTTCCCACACAGGTCAAGAACTAAAAACTATTCCTACCTGGGATCATTGTAAACATTTAAGTTGTTGTCCATATGTGGCTTTTTAAACCTTTCTATGTGTACAACTGTGTCATGTTTTAACAGAGGTATGAAAGGGTAGGAATTATATTTATGTTTCTACTGAAGTGAAATAAGCAGACTGGCATGGCATTTCAAAATGTACACTGGGATTCAGTGTTTCCGTCTTTGAATTTAGGATCTAGCTCTGTAAAACTCCTTCCTACTCTCCTTCCTTCCTTCGTTTGTTCCTTCCTTCTCTAATTTTCACCTTCAACTTCTTTGGAAATCCCTATGATGAGACTAGAAAAAACCCATTAAGTCAACACAAATAAAAACACAGATGCAGTATTTCCCAAAAAGCAGCATGAAGCCATGCACTCAATGAAACCAGTCAGGTCAGAAGGCAATAGAAGTAGGGACAGGACAGGGATCATGCAGAGACACAAAGTCTCATGGATGGTTGTATGACCTTTGCAAATTACTGCTTAAGGTAATCTAGAACTGGCAGAGATACACCTCTGTAATTACTATGTACTTCCGCGGCTCAGATTTATTTATTTATTTTTTTTCAATTTTTTAAGATGTGTGCTCAGGAGAAAATTCTTTTTGTTTCTTTTTATTGAAACCTATAATGAAGTCCTATAGCAATGAGAGAACGAAATTAGAGAAGAAGCATCTGTGACTAGAAATCACACAGATCACTCCTTTAATTATAGTGAGACACGGGGTGCCTGGGTGGCTCAGTCGTATGAGCGTCTGACTTCATCTCAGGTCATGATCTTGTGGTTGAGAGTTTGAGCCCCAAGTTGGGCTCTATGCTAACAGCTCAGAGCCTGGGGCCTACTTCAGATTCTGTATCTCCCTCTCCCTGCACTCTGCACTCCCCTGTCACTCAATGCTCTGTCTTGCTCTGTCTCAAAAATAAATATAAACATTAAAAAAATTAATTATAGTGAGACAATGCTTATTCTGATATGCTCTTAGTGATTATTCAAAAGATGAAAAGGTCCCAAATTCATTCTAGATGGGACAAAACAAAACATAAACCTGAAAAGTCGTTTCAAAGCAGTTTCCCTCAAACCCTTTGTTTTCCTCTCATTTCCTTACTTTATTCATATATTCTTCCTTCTCTTTCTCCTCCCCACATACATGGTGTTTAAGTGTTTAACGTTTATAGAAAGTAAACAACACTCACTCCTGCTCCTTATGTGAGGACTTTGAGTCACTTTAGGGAATGAAGTAATCAATTTGTCCAGACTCTCAGTACAAAGTGCTGCATTTGATACTTTGGTATCTCTTGAGTTTTCTAATTCTACAGCAGTGTCTTCGAACCTCAATTAGGTTTTAGGAATCAAAGAGGAATCATTTAAAAGGAATCCACATCCAAAGCTGTTGAGAATACCTGCAGTGATCTCCTAGGCAGTCTACACAGAGGAAGGAGCCCAGTCAGGGCTAGGGAAACAGATTTCCCCTTCATCAATCTTTTCCCCTTGGCTTTGAAGCTTCTGCTCTTATGTCTCAAGGCATCTTGTCCAGAAAAGCTTTTCTCTAAAGCTGGTGACGTCTTACATATTCATCCTTTTTGACACATTCATTCATTCCACAGATATTTATTGAGTTTAGGTTCTATACCAAAGGCACAGGGCATGCACAGACAGATTTGACAAAATCCCTGTCCTGGGAAAAGCTTCAGTGTAGGGCTATAGAGACCACTGGAGACAGGGGACAGCAAGGAATGACAGGGCCCTAGAAAGGTCTTTATCTTGTCTATCTTGTCACGTCAGGAGAGCGTCTTCAAGGCTCCAGATATAACCCTGATAGCACTCTATACCATCTGCACTTCTTGTTTGTTTTAACCCCCTTTTCTCTCTCTCTTGACAACAAAGGCAGTCCTAGATCAGAAATAAAAATGGCATCCCTGCCTCCAGCCTATGACATTTTTACTGGCTCAGAAGATTCAACGCCACAACCCAGATTTCTAGTTTTTCTGGAAATGTTTGAAGTTCTACAACCCTGTCTCAAGTTCTATCTTCCCACAAAAAAATGTCTACCTAAACTGGGAGTGACTATCTAGTTTTGGTGTAGAATTCACTCTCCAGACCTGTCTCATACTCTGGCAACCACCATATCTCCTTATCTTATCATACATCATGCTTCAGCTGTCCTTTTTCTTTTCTTATACACGTTTTTTAATGTTTATTTTTTGAGAGAAAGAGAGAGACAGGGTTCCAGCTGAGGAGGGGCAGAGAGAGAGGAAGACACAGAATCTGAAGCAGGCTCCAGACTCTGAGCTGCCAGCACAGAGCCTGACGTGGGGCTTGAACCCACAAACCATGATATCATGACCTGAGCTGAAGTCGGACGCTTAACTGACTAAGCCACCCAGGTGCCCCTGTCCTTTTTTTTACATGGCCTGTCTTGTTCATTTATGTTACTGGACTAGTAGGCTACGCATATGAGTTAATGACATATATGATCTGACAAATAGCTCACTGAAACATTTTCCTATGTTCAGCACAGTGGCTCATGCAGGGTAGTATTCCACTGCACATCTGGTCACACGGTAACACGCATGGGTCATTCCAATAGAGCCACACATATTGCCTAGTTGTCCCTAGGTATACAAGGTTCTATACTACAATGCAGCAAAATTTATTCTAAGTAGAGAAAAACACCTGTTTTGCTCTGTCTAAACTCTCACAGAAAACATGCCAGTGCTGATCCAGGATTTCTCAATCACATCTAGAACAGAAGGAAACCTCTTTTCTTTCTCTACAGGAACCTCTCTACATTTTTTTTTCATGTGGAGAATTCATTTTGTCATGGGGCGAACACCTGTGTGACTATTTAAAAACCACAACACCAGGTGTGTGAGTATAAGTGTCTCTCTCTTTTATGTAATGCTCTTCTCACTGATTTCTCAGCAGGCTGGGTCAGGAAGAAGCTGCAAGCTGAATATAGAAAAAAAGGTCTTAAAGGATTTTTTAAAATATGTCTATTACAAGTGCATGCACTAAATATGTTGCAGCAAAATTATACAAATAGGTCTTAAGTTTGTAAGATTCTTTAGTTTTTGCTGCCATGTGAAAATGTTTGGTATCTGTGAGTACCCAGTTGTAAGCTTACCCTAAGGGAGAGGATTTAGAAGACTTAGATTTGGAAGACGTTATATGGCAAAATATCTCAAAATATAAAACAAAAGAGATCTATTTACCTTGTGCTCTGTCTCAGGCTCTCCATTCCTCTTTTCCAGGAGATAGCTGCCCTAGGAAAAGCAGTTGGTTTGCATTCGATAGTGATATCCCCACCAACTTGCACAACTGAAGTTTTTTTAAGAGGATTTTTAGAGAAATCAGGAGCTGAGGCTAAAAACAAAATTAAAACCAAATTGTTAAGTTAGTCACTTAATTAACACGTGGTAACCTGATGGTGTAGTATACGAGACAGGATTTAAGGTTAACATGCAGAGCTTTTTTCAAGCTATTCTGCTCAGGTTGTTCTGGGACAAGTTACCAATTTAGCATCTTGGAGTTCTATTTTCATTTGAAAAATGAAGATGACAACAGATAATTACTTCAGAAATTTACTGAGGAGATTAAATGAGATAACATCTGTAAAGAACTCTAGCATAGTGCCTGGCACAAAGTATGTGTTCAATAAATGTAATTTATTTTTGTTTTGGTTCTAGTCATTGAAATAACAAAGGGCAATCAGAGCAGGGGAAGAACCAAGTTACAAAGAGCCACATTCTAAATCGTGTTTACAACAAAGAGGGTGAAGGTGGTCCCATAAGAGAGAGAAGAAGAGATTTTAACCCTGATTAGGGAAATCATTAAATCTCTTCCAGTCAAGGTAATGATCCTAAATGGGAAATATAAAATATCACTGAAATAAAGCAGAAATACTCTATCACTTTGTCAGATTTATTCAGGCAAGCCTTTAACCAGCTAAATGGAAATACTCTGCCTTCGGTAGAAGCAGACAAGCTGAGCAGATTTTTTTTTAAATGTCAGTTTCAACTTTGTCCCCACTCAATAAATGTTGAACAAATACCAATTCATGAGGGTGAGAAATTATTAGACTGCCTGGATGTATCTGAGTCTTTCCAGCTTCACGAATGTGGGAAGCCATGTGTCCAATCCTCACTCCTAGCCTGAAGTCTAAGTGGGCTGAAATTCCTTGAGATATGCCATGGTCTCTTGTTTCTGGGCATTTAAAGTATTGCTTCTCTTTACTGACTTGTGCATGCTTTTTCTACGGATCTCAGGCTTCAAGAGAACATCCTCAATTTAGGTTATTTTCAGCTTGTCATGAAGTCTGATAACACCTTCTCAGTTATTCACTATAATAATCATATTTTAAAATTTAGCTTTTTTTTCCTCAGTGAAACTATAGGTTCTATGAAAGCAAAGATCACTTAAGTATGGATAATTATATCTTTACTACTTAGTACACAATAACTTTTCAATAAATAGTAGTGATTGAAAGAATAAACAAATCAATGGCCATTGTCCATAAGCTTATGAAACCTTGTCTCTTTGCTTGATCCTTCCTCTCTCATTCCATTTCTTCCTACCATTAAGAAAACTTTGTGATAAAAGAGACTGGTGGGTTATTTGTTGTAACACACACCACTGAGAATATCATTCTTGAACTGCTTCTATCCCAAATTTTCTACTACAAGGACTCATCTGCCCAGCTTTCCTTGAGGTCTGGGTGGTCTTGTGACAGGGTTCTAGCCATCGTCATAAAATGATTTTACTGTAAGGATGCACAGAAATTTTGTATTTTCTAATGAGAGGGATAGATTTGGTCACTTTTGTCCCTTCCCTCTCCTTCTCCCTTAAGTATGGGTTTTATTCCTGTAGCTAGAGCAGTCACTCCCTCAAGGCTACAAGCATGAGGGAAAATTTAAAGGATAATATTATCAATCACGGTGCTGTGGTTCAGTTACCACTCCTGAAATTCTTGTTAAAAGATAAAATAAATACCTGCTTAAATCACTATAAATTGAGATTTTCTTTTCCTATTTTTTTTGTTTGTTAGCAGTTGAAACACTCCTAAAGGATAATTTTGAGTTGTACTCAAAACATGTGCTACGATCAGCTTTGGAGGACCCTTGTTCTGGCTTGGATGTACTCAACAGCAGACTTCTCTGGAAGCACTAATGTATTGCTCAAGCAGAATAATGATTTTCACCCTGACTTTTTTTTATAGTTAATTTAGACATTTCCCATTATTTCAAAGGAAAGCAATCTCTAATTTACAGAAAACTTGGGTTGATACTATGTATAATCATAGCTCACTAAAATGTCATTTTGAATTTTTTGGTTATAAATGAATGACTTACCTAATACTCTCAATTCTGCATTTGCATAAATTATCTGATATTTGTTTTCTGCAGCACACTGGTAGACACCAGAATCTGACACATTCAGCATAGTTATGATAAGTGTCCCGTTTTCTATTTGAATTCTTTCCTAATAAAAGAAAAGCCACATAAAGATGTTAGTGTGTTAATGTAGGCACTCTCTTAACCAGAATACACTATTAAACATTGGTACATTTCTACAATATACGACATTTTGGTGCATGAGAACTGATGTTTATGAAGATGGAGCTTAATATACTGCAAGATTCCGAGCAGCTTTTTGAAGTTAAAAAAAGAAACATCCTTCCTATAATTTTAGTAGTTAGTATATTGTACGTTCTCTCATTTCTTTGAAAATTGGCATTGTCTGCATAGAATGTATGTTAACTCTGTTATATGGTATATAAAATAATTTGGATGATTCTAGCCTTCCAATTATTTCAGGAAATATGGCTAATAATAATGTTAGACATGAATATAATGATTAGAAATATCCTTGGCTTTCCATCATAAGGTCTCCCAAAGACCTGAAATGTGATGGCTTGGTAGTTCTAATTGGAGGAGCTAAATTCTCCTTTTCTGAAGCCTACCATAGTATGCTGAAACAGCCAAATCTGTTACAGAGTCCCATTTGGAGTAGAGAAATACAATTTTGAGTGCACATAATGAAATAGCTTAATAGAGCAAATATAATTTTAAAAAAATATTTCAGTATACCTATTACCATCCTTTAAAGATAATGAAAGTAGGCTGGAGGAAACAGAAAATGTTCTATGCAAAAAGGCATTCAGGAAGAAAATTTCACTAAAACCAAAACAAAGAAGAGCATTATTTTCATCTTCTAAACACTAGATGTTCTTTGTGGCCCAAGCTGTGCCTACAAGTGCAAAGTAAAAGGGAAAATTAACACAATTATTTGGATAATGTGATGGGGGGGAGCCAATTTTGTCTCATTTTCAGTATACTGTACAATAAAGTATGCTCCAAATTGAAAAATGTGGATAATTGCCTCAGTTCTCCACATCCTATGGGTTTAGAGTCATTAGTTTTTGTAAAAGCCAGATAGTGATTAATGTTTAAGAGCTTGGATTCCGTAATCAGATTATGTTTAGAACAAATTCTAATATTTACTAGCTACTGTGTGACTTTGGACAAGTGACCTAACCTGTCTGAAACCAATTTTCTTCATCTATGGAAGAAATAATACTAGCATCTCTCTCATAAAATTGTCATGAGGATACAAAAAAACGCATGGAAAAATATTTACATAGGACCAGGCTCATACAACAGTTTGGTGGATGTTAATTAAAATGGTGATGGTGATGATGTTATCTGAATATGGATCTATCACTGAGTAGTGTGTGACCTTATGCAAGTTGTCCTCTCTACCCTTAATTTTCTCATTTGAAAAATGGGGATAATATTAATAGCTACTTTGAGCTTATTTAAGTATTATATAAATTAGTGTATGTGAGGAGTATACTGCCTTTCCTAGCACCTACTAAGCATCCCATAAACATTAGCTGTTACTGGTAGTAAAAAAATTTCCCTAGGAGATTAGGTGAAATTTTAATATCAACATAGTTGCTTACCTCTGGAGTGAGGCGTTCACCATTCTTTAACCAAGTGTACCAAGGATTTGGCTTTCCACTAGCTTTGCATTCCCAAAACAAACTGTCATAGATAGACAGGTAAGTATTTTGGATTTTTTGTTCCCATTCTGGTGGGGCTGTTTCAAAAACAGATAAGAACAACTACTTGGCAAGTCAATTATCCAAAATATTGCGCAACATTCCAAGGACTATAGAAAGCAGAAGGACAAAGCTAACTGGGCCCAATTGTACTGAAAACACACGATTGAGGGAAGGGAAACGTAGAAGCCTCAATGTGGAACAACAGAAATCTTGTAAATATCAGTGGTCCTTCGGCATAAGATAAATGTTTGCCATTTGTCATTGTGATGTCCCTTTATAGCAACCTGGGAGTTGTAGGAAAACGTCCAAATGCAGAACAAGGCCAGAGAATAATTTCACGGTAAATATTAGTACATAGGTCAAGTTAGAAAATGTATACTAAATCAGAACCCACTGTGAGCAAAGGCCCATGATTATATTTGGTTTGAACTAACTAAAAGGAAGTTTATCTATATCAGACATAATTACAATTCAATAGCTTGAAGCACAATTCAAATATGAGCCTTATCACATTTTAGGAGGATTAGAGTCCAATTTTTTTTCCCCAACATAAAACTCTTGACAGGAAATGAGAACTTTCGAGTTTTATTTAAGCTCAGCACCTAAATTTAATCCTGGGCATCCATTATCCAAAACCTTATTTTGTAATATGACCAAGTTCTACATTGTACTGAGGCAAAAAAAAAAAAAAAAAAAAAAAAAAAAAAAAAAAAAAAAAAAAAAAAAACTGGTTTAATTAATGTTAAAGTGTTATTTAGGTGTCAGGTAGTATTATCCTTACTATAATTCATAGAAACAGGTGGGGTGTAAATTAAATGTTCTTTCATAAAATGACAGGAGGCTGCCTGGCTGTGTCATTTATCCCTCTTTTATTTAGGTCTGTCCTCAGATACGTAGGAGTGAATGCAATTTCCTTCGGAATTGCAGGCTTTTATAAGCTAGATATGTAATTGCAGTTAATTCTCTCTCTAGTCATTTGTAGAGATGTTTGCAGACATGTGAGATAACCTGCTCGAGAAGACATAGTTAAAAAACAGAGAAGCCAAACTTTGAACCCTGAAAGCAGAGCCTAAGTTAAGGGGTAGTGTTCATTTTGCCTGTTAGGAATGCCAGCCCAAAGATAAGGCATCAGGAAGAGGAAGAGTCTACAGGGAAGGAAAGAGGCAATGCAAGGGTCAGTTATTAAGTTAGCCACCAAGATGGGCCACTGTTACTTGATCCTCTGTGAACTTCTAAGGGGTCTTTATAACTGCCTACTGAGGAAAAGGAAGAGGAAGCATTTATTCATTGGCTTCTGTCCACCGTCATTCAAGGTTAGTATAGATGTTCTATATTAGCAGACCCAGGTTGTGTGTACCGAAGTGCTGAGTAGGCTCTAAGAGAACAAAGAAAACCGAAGGAGGAAACAAGACGGACTTGGTGTGGCACCTGAGACAAGACTCTATCAGGTTATACCTACAAAACCTAGAGCTGGTGACTGTAGCAGTGGATGGAGAAAGAAGTGTGACTGAGAGTCTTTGAAAGTTGTACGAGTATGTCTGACTTCCAGGGTTTTCCCATTGCAACATCTGCTTCCACTAAGATAAAAGGTCCTTCAGAGAGCTGGTCACTGAGAAGAAGGAATCATGATGTCTCACTGTAGTAGAAACTAAGCCTGGGATTACCACCTGTGGAAATCGGGACAACTTCCAGTTACAGAATATGATTATCACAGTTTTGAGGGACAAATTAAGGCAAGACTTAGATGAAGTAGATGTATGGATGAAAGTGAATCATGTTTCTGAATGTTATTAGCAAAATTTTACAATTTGTGAAGATTGTTGAGAAATTTTCTTAACATATGTTTGACCTGGGAGAAGAAATAAATACGTATAAAATTCACATAGGTTGTAAAAGTTTGAAATACATATGGTTTTAATGTTTAATGCGATAATTATAACTTTACAATGTATTTATTTTGTTAATACGTAAATTCTTTGCATGCTTCAGATTCTAAAGACCAAAGTTTTAAATCTTCAACAATGTAGGAAATGCATGAAACAAAGGACCTAGGATTTCAGGTCAACTATATGGGCTTGGATTTTAGATTTTCTTTCTTTCCCTACTGAGTGATTATGGAAAGTCACTTAACTTCTCTGAATAGGTTTCATTTTCTATAATGGTATTATAATGGTATCATTTTCTATAATGATGATACTTAAAGATTTCTTTTCGAGGTAATAAAGATGGAATATAGAAGAAAAGGGTTCTGAATTTAAACACCGCAATATAATAAAACCGTTTCTTTTCTTAAAATTATCAGGTATTATGCAATTCTCAGGTACTTGAGTCAATACTCTGCTCCTTTGGGAGCATGATAACAAGTAAATCAATAGGTTAATAAGAAGTATAATACTTATCTTATTGACCAATTATCTGTTATTACCCCACAAGGACCATTTGGACTCATTAAATGGCTAATGACAAATATTTCTACTTCTTACTATCATTAAGAATGACAAGAATTAATATTTGTAAAATCTGCTGTGTAAGCTAACAGTTTCTGTACAGAAAGCACTTTCTCTTATTGACTTCTGGTTTATAAATACCTTCATTTCTTGTTTAACCACTGGGTTATATCTTTGTCTACTTAATAGAAAAATGAAATCTCTATTAAAAACTAGCCAAAGCTTTTAATATCTTGGTGCCACCCAAAACTCCCAGTCACATCCTTACTATTTTATTTACAATGGATTCTAGATGTGAAAGAATGTTTTAAAAAATACCTGTATATATAGCTACAACTGTAGACGAATAATCAGCAGGATATCATATTCTATATATATAAAATAATACTTTTCATTCAAGGTTAAAATAGGAAATTCTAAAGGAAATGGAAAATAATATAATCAATGCACAATTTACTCTCCCCACAGGATACTCAATCGCTATTCCTATGAGGTAATTACAATACCTTGGATTTTTCCAGTTATGAAAAAAATACATATTTTCCCCAAATACTTTATCATTGTTTGTAAACATGTCACACAGAAACATGTCACACAGAAAAGTATTTTTGGTCATGTGTAAATACAGTCTTAAAAAGTTCTCCAGTACTGATATATTAAATTTGGCAAAAATAAGTTAAGAATATCTTAAGGGCACCAAACATTTTGATAATTCTGGGGTATATATTATGGTTTATTTTCTGTAAAAAAAAAAAAGAAGCAAACTTTATGCAACTGTATATTTTGGCCTGAATAAAAGAAGACATGAAGCCAATTTTTATATAATATTTGCTTTCGTTTGAGATTCTGGTAATTGAGACCAACATATATTTTAAGTGTAGTAATAACATTATTTTTCTATTATCTACATATGAACAGACAAAATCTGGGAAATAGAAACATATACTGAAAACTACCATTCAGTATTATATTTCTCCTGTCAGTCTCTCCTTTTGTGAATTCTACTTAGGATTATAATTAAGACTGTCATGAGCTGTTGCTGAATGTTTTATGGGAAATATATTGAATTCTATGGTACTTTGTGTTATAAACCTTTATAGCTTTAATGTGACATTGCTGATACTTTCAAGGCAATTATAATAAATAATAGCAAGTAAAGACCACGATGGAATTAAAAGCGTATTTTAAAAATGGTCATGCCCACCTGCCCATCAGTGTATTAAGCATCCTAACCTACACATGTGTCTTCTTTATTTCTCCTATGACATTTTCCACACCATGCTAATGACCTTCACTATCTCCTATGAAGGATATTACCAAAAATTTCATATACTTTTTGAAATTCTATTAGCTTACCATAGAAAATGAGTTGACCCTTTGCAAGGTTTCTTCCTCGAAGGTTGCCTGCAATGCACTCATAGAAGCCTTCATCTTCCTGTTGAAAGTTCGGGATTTCAAGAATAGCTTGGGATTTGCTGTACTTGACTTTCCCTGGCAACGGGTTTCCATCCAACCTCCTCCAACTAATATCAGGGACTGGACTAAACAGTTATACCTCATTAGAATAGAAGATGATTTAGTCTTTACGACAGCAGGATAAATTAAGAGTGTCCTTAAGAATAACTCTCAAGGAAAATTTTCCAATCAATCTATTATGTTATGACTACTTTTCAGATCATGCAAGCATTCACCATTCACTCATCCAGCAATTTATAATACTTCTTAAGTGCCTGCTATGTGCAAATCATTGTGCTATTATCAGGAAATAAATCGATGAATAAAATAGATACATTATCTACCCTCATGTTGCTTAAAGACCAGCAGAGAAACATACAATAAATAAATAATAAAAAATAATACATTTGTAAATTGCAGTAACTGCAAAAAGGAAACAGAGTGCAGAAATAGGAACAAGATTTTATCAGTGTAAATATGGTGGTCAGGAAATTCTTTGCGAGCATGTGACATTTAAGAGTCGGCAAGCTTCTTCTATATATTATAGGTTTTAAGAGTAAAATACAGATTGCTCTATAGCTAAATTGGTACTAATACATAACTGGAGACCTCTGTGATGAATGAGCTAGATTATCAAGCAGGACCAGTACTATGTAATACATCTATATAAATTGGGAGTATAGGTTTCATCATCCTCAAAAGAATGTACTCATTTATAACTTATCTAAAATGAAAACCAAAAATAAATAAATAACGTAAAAGATAACTTTACATTGTACCATTAGAATTTGTGGAGTTCCTTTATAGATTTAGCTTAATATCTTATGTCTAATATCTTTAGTCTAATATGAATATCTTTTAAAATAGCAAAATATATTTACAATATCTGAATTGAAGAGCTAACAAAGAGTGATGAATTTAGAAATTCGTGGTGAGAAAGACCTTACTTTTACATATATGATATAAAGAAATGCAGGCTACATGTAAAGTTATAGCAGGATTGTAAGATCAGTCCCTAATCTATTTACATTAACATCTTTCCTTTCCTACTGCCAAGTCATTCTTCTTTCCCTAATAGATTTCCAGATGATTTAAATGTTTCTATTCTAAATTTTTAAATTAACAATAATAATGAAAGTGAATCATTTTGCAAAGCCAAATTGTAAACTTTGTCAAAGATACAGGATTTCTTCAAGTTAACACAAATAATGTGGGGAAACCACCTAATGAAATACAAAGTGGTTGACTACGAGGTGTGGGATTTGAGTAGTAAACAACTGAAGAAAATTGGTGATGGTGACTCAGTAGAGGATTCAAATAAAGCAAAATTGATCAAGTCCAAGGAATTTTTTATTGGCAAACAATGATGGCCCTTCCATTCAAATCAAAGACATAAACAACGTAGAAAGCCATACATGTGCTCCTATAGATTTGCCAGAAAACATATCCCCTAGTCAGTGTGTGATTTGTCTATTCTTCTCAGAATTAGTATATAGTTAAAAACGTGACTTGAATTCTTATAAACGCACAAAAAAAAAATTATTATGATACACTTAGTTTTTGTCTTTTTAAAAAGACTTTCCACTTACCACAAATTTAGGTTGACATTTTAGTAGAATGGCATATTCCTACCAACAATTAACCTCAGATAACTGGTTTTCTTATATATATTCATTTTATGGAATACAAAACTACAAATAAAAATGAAATTCTAGAAGAAAAATTATTCATATAGAAAGATCGTCACCAAGTCTGGTAAATTTTGTAGTATATGCCTTATCATCTAATTTTTTAAATATATGTTGTACATATGTGAAGACAGTGAAAGTTATTATCTGTGAGTAGTAGGAATATTAATGCCTTTAATTTTCTTCTTTCTGCTTATCTCTATTTTCCATTATTTTTCTACAAAAGCATTCATTATCTATGTAATAAAAATTTCTAAGAAAATTTACTTACAAAGAGAAAAATAAATAGAGGCTCAGATACTTGTCTAAATTCATTATCCTTTCCCATTTTTTTATGACAGTGTACCTCTGAGGTTTATGACCAATACATGAAGAGTATTTAACTGAAAAAAGCTTTTAACTTAAAACATTCAGACAAAACAAAATCAGTAAAGACTGAGTATTTCCCAGTTATATAATAGTTCTTTATTTTGATTATGAAAACAGAAGTCAATTTTTAACATAACTATCTAAATCTGAGTCAGTTTGGCATCTAATACAAATAATTGTAATGATATCACAATAAATAGCTACTGCTTATTAACCACGAACTATGTGCCTGGTATTATGTATGGGTAAAACATGCAAAGGTCATTTCATTTACTTTTCCTATAGTTACAGGGCATAAATAGGATTTATTTCCAAGTTTCTTTGCCCTAAAAGCTATGTACTTAATCATAAGGCAATACAGACCCTACAGCTTTTGTAGGATCACCCACGGATTTGGCATTTGTGGTTTTACAGTAGTGGCTCTCCATTTTTTTTTTTAATTTTTAATGTTTATTCATTTTTTGAGAGGCAGAGAAAGAGTGTGAGTGGGGGAGAGGGAGGGAGGCAGGGAGGGAGGGAGAGGGAGAGAGAGAGAGAGAGACAGACGGAGAGAGAGAGAGAGACAGAGAGAGACAGAGAATCCAAAGCAGGATCCAGGCTTGGCACCAGCAGCACAGAGCTGAACACAGGGCTCGAACCCTTGAGTGGTGAGATCATGACGCTTAACTGACTGAGCCACCTAGGTGTCCCTCCCCCACGCCTTAAAAAAAAAAAATGTTTATTCAAGTGGCTCGCCATTTTAAGTGTCCAAATTAAGTTGGGGTAAAAAGAACAAGTCCCATCCATCCTAACTATTCCTACTTTCCACAGAAGAACTCAGTGATAGCACCGAAGTCTCTCTCGATACATTTTTTTCCATTAATGGATGAAACGGCATATCCAATAGAGATATACCTTTCCAATAGAAGTAATGCAGCAGACAGTGTCAGTACTCTAATTGTGTGCTTTCTGATCCCTTAGCCACCACAGATTCTGAAGTGCTATTACCCTCAACATTGAGTATCTGTATCTGTTTGTGACAACCACCCTCAAGTGCTGTAGCTAACTTTCCCTTCAAAGAGGTGAAAGCAGCTAGGTATTTACATATCCCCAGGGACAGCTATCAATCAACAACTGACTAAATGCTGTGATACAAATATTCTATCTTCCCTGCCCCTGCTGGTGGGCCATCTCTCAGATGTGAGTCTCTCCAGAGCTCCCATACAGGACTGAGGCAAATTTAACTTCCATGACATTTTGCTTGATACCATACTCTGCTTGGCTACTCTTCCTTCCCTGTCCCACTTCTTCATTCTCCCATGGGTTCTTTCTAAAAACTCTTCTAACCAACCACTTGCAAAAAATTATCCTTTCAAGGTCTGCTTCTTGGAAAACCAATTTAGTAGAATTCCCAATATGCTCTGGCCTTGTTCTACTTTAATTATAACATCGATTTTAAGGAAGCTTTAAATAATTCTCAGTATGGTATGGCTATTAGACACACATAGAAATGGTATTCTGAAGTATTAAACATCAGCGGAATACAAGACCAGAACTAAGCAGTAGAGTCCTAGTGGAAAGCCTTGGCTGTGGAACATACAAGGTCTAATTTACACCAGAATAATAGCAAAAGGCAAGGGATGTAGAAATGTAGAAGAGACACAAGGCTGAACACAGAGATAAGTTTCTCACATAAAAAAGAACATCTTTTTTTTTTTTTTTTACCTCATTTGGGGGTGGAGTGATAAATCTTCTCCCACAAACCATTTAATTAGGGAGATTATAATATAATCCTCTAACGTAAGATTATTCAATTTTGAAGAAGGGTATAAGAATTAGAGTCCTAAATTCTCAATCGCAGTGGATCCATATTTGGTTGGGTCATTGGTTGGTTTCTGTCTGCATTTTGATTTTCCTTTGAAGAGCCTCCTAACTTTACTTCATCTGATTTGAATTGGAAGCACTAGACCTCTGGCTTCAGGAGAGAGCACAAGATAAAGGTCTTGCCATTAGAAGCAGATGCACCATAGTATCTGGGATTGGTCAATTATGAGAACCAAGACAACCAACCAGAGAAAACAATAGTCAATTCTGTGAATGGTTTTGGAAGAGCTGTCGAAAAGAGAATCTTTTTTTTCACTGTGGTTTGCTCAGACAGAATAGAAACTTGGAACTTCTAGGCAACAATTTCCTTCCCACCAAATGGAGCAAGTATCTTTGAAAGCTAAAGCTACTACAAAGGCAAGAATCTTGGGATTCTTCACATGCCTAGATCAAGTCATGCCTGATGCCCCCCCCCCCCCAATCTCTCTTTGAACATTTCTGTAAGTCAATACATTTCTTTTTCTTTTTTTTTGGCTTAAGCTTGTTTGAGTTGTTTTCTTGATGCTTTCAACCCTCTCCCCTCCGCCCCAACAAAAGACATGACAAATAGATTCTGATGCCTGGATTTAGATGCTGTGTGACTGAATTATACAAAATGGTGGCTTGCTGGTGGATCCTGGGTGGCTCAGTTGGTTAGGTGTCTGACTCTTGATTTCGGCCTAGGTCATGATCTCATGGTCTGTGCTGACAGTGTAGAGTCTGCTTGGGATTCTCTCTCTCCCCCTCACTCTGCCCCTCTCCTGCTCATGCATATTGTGCTCTCTCTCTCTCAAAATAAATAAACTTAAAAAAAAAAAAACAATATGGTGGACATTACATTTTATACTCCATACATTAGAATTCTCAGGGCAACTACACTATCAAAAAAATTACTCAAACATTTTAAAAGTTTTTTTTTTTTAAAGAAGTCTTATCAACTGTATTTTGTGACTACATTTCATGTTAAAATTACTAATGGGAGAAAAATCAAACCGTTTTATAAGAATTCACAGTTACTAATTAAATGCTGAGATTTTTTTTCAGATTTGTTATGTCACTGCTAAATGTGAATGCCATGATCCTCCTGATTATCACTGGTAATGTGATATATAGAGACAGAGAGAATAAGTGCAAAACACAGATTACATAAAAATACATATGCATTTTAATCAAAAGTTCCCATTTTG